TTGCCCTGCCTAAGTGATTAATCAGAGTAGTTTCGACTTTTGAAGAAACCCTGGTGGGTTACCATTGAAATGGGCACCCAAGTTCAAACCTAAAGTACTTTCATGTGGTACTGTTTACTATGTACACCAGTACCACATTGTGCAAAGTTATTTGAAATTGAAATTGGGAATTAATTTTATGTGTGTTTTATCAAACTTCTAATAATTTTTCAAACCCTTAAGGTAAGAGAAATTAATAGAATTTTGATAAAACACAAGAGAAATTATTTCTTAATTTCACAAGTATACCGCTTGATTACCTCTTAATATCATGGGTGACAAATTACACTCAAATAACAATTACAATCGTGGGTTTCTCATTTGTATATTGTATCGAGAAATTTCGCATCAAACGTTGCCATGGCAATTTTGTAATTTCACACGAAACTAACACTGAAATTTCATGCCAAAATTAGGACTAATATGTTTCCCGTGATATTACCAAGTAGTTAATTCCATTTGTCTTGGGGTAAGTTACTGAATAAACAAAACAACCATCATCAGGACTTACTGTCCCTGGATCTCAGTGGATGGAAGAAAAAAAACACAAAAAACAAAAAAAACTGAATGAGCCATTTTCTATGGAAAATAATATTTAATCTTGGTAACCATAAAATTATACAACATTAACATAGCATTTACAAATATATTATACGTCTATATACAAACGCAATGCCAATTCTCTGGCACTCCAAAGGGGTTTATACGCCCTGTATTCTTTATAATATTTAAAAATCATTTCTGAATATAAAACATTCAGTATTAAAAGTACAATTTCGTCTTAAAAATGGTAAGAATTTCTGAGCACTTAAGAGTCCACTCTCTCTACTTTGCCCACCACTTTGCCATCGAAAGTCGGTAAAACAACATTGTCATCTTTCACTACTTCATAAACAACTCCGCCCTCTATGTCATCGGAAGATGTCTTGAAACAGAATCTGCAAACAGGAAAGAGAAGAGATTAAGTTGACCATTACAAGGTCGCAATTTTTTGTGAAGTAAAATTTAAAAATCTCATCAGTAAACTATATCAACCACAGTATCATGTGCTTGTAAGACATGTGCAGGTGGTAGACCGGTAGCCCCTTTATAGCCAGATCCAGGCATTTGTTTTGTCGGGGAGCAGTGCAAGGCTCAGAAAATCGTCTCAAACTAGCCAGAGGCCAGAAGTATGCAACACTCTTTTATAAGTGTAGTACAGTTAGCAAAAATATTAAAATTGTAAGGATTACAAATAACTCCACTTTTTTTCTGTATTGATGTGAACTGTTCATATTCTTACATGTAGTTGTCTAAGAGTGTATTGAGTTTTGTTTACTACTGATCCAATGAAATTAATAAAAAGACATCATAATTCCTGTGCTGTTCAAGCAATATTTGCTTAAAGTTCCCTCAAATATGAACGGACAACATTGACACAGAAAAAGAGTGAATTTTTGTTTTATTCTTTCATTCCATCCCAAAAGTCTCAGTGAATAGCATTAATAGTGCAGGTCCAGAAACACTTCATGTTAAATCAATGTAATAAACAGGCCACCAAGTAGGGCTCTTCTGTGCTCATGGAATAATCATTAAAAGTAAAAAAAGTGATGCTTACCTGTAATTTCCTCTTCTTGGAGGTAACAAAGTTTTAAACTGCCCAAGAGTAACAGATTTTCCAGGAACTGATGTTCTATAAGGAATGGGTTCTCCCCATAAGTAGTATGTTACTGTTATCATGTCATCGTTATTATTATGTTTGTCCTTCCTTTTTACTGATCCACTGAACCCACTGTCTTTACTAATTGAATCAGAATGTGATACAGATGACATCAATGATGAGCCTGTTACAGAGGGTGCACCCCTGTGATGTCGCTCATGAACTGCACAAGAGGATTGTCCATAACTTGAATAGTCCGTTGTAGAACAACAAGATGATGCCCTGTTTTTTTCTCTGTATGAGGTGTCCGTGTCCGCTACATGTGACCTAAATGAGAAACAAAATATCTAATTTATTACATATGCAGTGGTAAAAAACTAAATACTATGTGAGTGGAATTCATATATACATGTAGCTTCACAATAAACTTTCGATGCCACCATGGCTTGTTGCTTTTTGTTCCAGTAAAATTCTGGGACTTTTCAAATTCAATTTTGTTATTCTTACTAGAATATTTGCATTCTCCTGCAGTCGGCATACTAGTGTATTACATGGTTACTGCCACAGTTAGACAAATCACAGTGAGGGTAAAGCAGGGCATGTTTAAAACACGAAATGGCAAAATGATGAAAGAAGTCATATTTCATCATTTTGCCAAATATTCATGTTTTAAACACCCCAGTGAAGTGTATTGCCCCAAAACACAAACATAATGACTTCAACCTAGGCCCGCATCCAGACTTCCCAATCTAGAACCCAGGACACTAACCATGTGGCCACCACCATCCACTATTTACATGTACTATCAAAACGGTTATTTTCTGGCTGCACACCTACCTTTGCTTTGCATGATGTTTACTCCGTCTCTCACTCTCTTTCAGTTCTATTAACCTCCTATTGGTTTCCTCCAAGACAGACGAAGCATGAGGTGCAGGAAGAGGGGGCATCAGAGGATCAGAAGCAATGGGTTGGTTAGGTAAATGACGAGATGAACTCTTTTCTGGCTGCCTGATAGAGCCAGCAGTTGACTGTCTGCTCCTTGCGCTTGTTCTTGCTGAAGGAGAATGATGACGGTGGGGTTTGGACTCTCGAGAAGGACTTCGTTGAGCCTGCTCACCTTCCTCCATCCACTGCAAAATGCGATGACGATTGACAGGTAGGAAAGGAATGTTGTCATCCTTGCGGGTAGGACGAACTTCCCAAACATTACCATCCTTGGCAGGGTTGCTGGGTTGCAGTTCAACTGCTGTTTCTTTCAACTCAGGAGCTGGTGGTTTTGTCCTTGGAATTTGCTGGGGCTGGTTGCAACGATTGTATGAATCCAGAGCTACTGGTGCAGCAGAGGTGGTAGATCCACAACTTTCTACTCCAGCAACAGGATTTTCATTTTGGTGAGCTTCTCTATAAGTAGCTGCAGGCTCAGAAACAACTGACATTGCCATGGTGCTGAGAGGAAGCTTTTGACTTGCTTCAATGGCTTGTTGGAGAATTGACTTCCTTGGTGCCTAAAATTTAACAAGATCAGAGTAAGACAAATTTGAAAAGGGCAAACTGATCAAGAGGTGTGTGTAGTTGACTTAAATTAAGTTAAACATATTACTAAGCTTAATCAAATGCCCACACAAATGGGCCTCTTTTGGCCATGCTACTTATCCCAATCTTAAGAGAAATCACAGGACTGAACAGAGAGTAGTAACTTACCTCCAAATGAGTAGACAAGTTGTGGGCTTCTCTCTCGTTAAGCTCCCGCTCAAGCTTGACCTTTTCCAGTTTCTCAATCAGTATCTTTGCAAATTCTTCAGGATTACTAGGGTGTCTTGCATCCTTGGGAATTCGCTGAGTCCGCTATAGAGATTAAATATGTCACCTTTAATTCCAATCCACACAAATTTATTTTGAATTACAGACAACACTTACTACAAAGTGGTGACAAAAATGACATGATTAAAAAACTCTCCCAAAAGAATTACAGACCATGTATGCAAAGTAGTAAGGAGAATTTGCACCTGATCTTGTGAAATACCTGTCAAGTCAAGTAATGTTAAGTCTTTGTTGTCTCTCTCTTGATATGCAAATGTTTGATCCAAATTGAGCAAGACAATAAGGTAATGACAGGCTATATACCTACATAGGGCAGACACTTTAACAAAGGAAACAAGAGGGTGATTTGTTAATTTTATTATTCATCATCTCTTTTGGAGCAAAGAACCCACTCAGTAACATATATTAAATAAACAGACTAATTTGCCTTGATCTTCACCAAATGCTGCCAGAAACAACATGACTGAAAACAGATTTTCCCCACAAACTTGGTAAGACTATGAATAATAGAGAGGACCCTTCATCAAACTAATTTTGTGTGTAACATGCCGCAATATGTCATTACTTACTGGAATAAAATTAGACATCAGTGGAAGCCCATCATGGTGGGCTGACTTCTTGTTTCGAGAAGTACACTTCCTTCTTCCACTACATCTGGATGATGCATCACTGAAAAAATCAAACCAGAAACAAGGGCTTTAAAGGGGAGGAAAACACTGAAAATTTATCACATAGTTTCTTAGTCTAAAATCATTATTGACTTCTGTACATTTTTATAGTGCTAGGTGGGAGAATTTCGTGAAATATCATGTCAGTCATTTTCTTCTGATATTCTTGCTTGATTACATGTACATAATCCGGAGATACAGAATGAAGTTAGGGTGTAATTCATTGTGAAATGCAAGTCAAACTTTGGTGCATCTTTCATATTTACATTTCAACACAACAGAAAAGATGGTATACAGTGCAGATGCTTGGAACATATAAGGAACAACCATCAATTCTTGCAAATTATGCAATTCATGTAATCTGACGAGAGCAATCAATTCTAGCAAATTACACGATCATGTAACCTGGTACCCTCATGTTATGTGGGTTTTAATATCAAATTCAAATTTTTAATTCTTACTACTGATTGCAACATAATGCTTTTAACTGAATTATGAGAATTTTGTGGTACATCAAGACAGTTTCCCCACTTAATGTTTCTCATCACTGGTCTAGTAGCTGAGGTATTGATATTGTAAGGAGTAGGTGGATTTTGATCATTATCAAGGTTAAAATTCAAGTTGAATGGTTTAGCACAGACAGCAATGGCTTATAAAATGTTCCGCTGATTGGAACTTTCAGGTAACAAGTTTTGGTATCGCATAACTAACTTACTCAGTCAAGGCACTGTCAGTGGTTACTGACAGAGTGTCTTCCGTCATAGCATCACTTGACAGACTCTGGTTCTCGGATTCAATTCTGGAACCCACTGGCACCGTTGGATAATGATACGGGGACAGCATTTCATTCATTGGAACATGCAGTAGGCACCTGAAGTCAGATAAGTTCTCGGGTGAATAATACTCCAAAATAAATCACCTGTGATATGCACGGACTTTGTCAGGAGATTTACAACATCGCATAATTTATTTATATTATGTAACACTCAATAAAGTTACAGTGGCTCCGTAGGGTTACCATTTGTCCTGCTGCGACCACTAGTGTTATGGTCTGAATGCTGTTTTTGCATTCCTTTTTTTCACAAAGTCCTCTAAAACTTATTAAATGTAATAAATAAGCAATGATGTAATAGTGTATCATCTCTGTTAAAATCATGGAAATGCGAGAACATTCACTGTCAGTTTTGCTTTATATGGTCATGTTGACATCATTTAATATCGAAAAACAGTTGTTTTCATTACAGCACACACAGATTACTTAAGGCTTCATCCTTAGGATGCATGTGATCTTAAAACTATAGGGAGCGACCTTGAGCTAATGAAATTCTGACCTATAATTCAATATATACCGGCGGATATACTTGACATGATAAACAATAACTAGTAAGCTTTAGTTTGCCATTTAAAGGTTGAGCGCACTTTAAACCTATGAAAGACAGGGTGTGCACGTGCAGGTACTTATGTTTGTTTATCTCGCAAAGAATTAGTTGCTAATGGCAACTAGCACTTCAGATAGCAATAATCTTTTATCATCTTTGCAAAATTGATGCAAGCAAGGAACTATCACCACAGGAAACAGTTCAAATAGAAATCCAATGAAAGTAAGCTAAGCAAAATTAGGAAAATGCACTTTGAGTACATGGAGATTTGGTTAAAGCTATCCAATTTATATCATGCCTGATCACACACTGATAGTGGACCTGGAGAGTCATTCTTGATGATTGCACTTTAGCTATCCAATCATCATTCAAGGGTGAAATAATCACATTGAAGTACAAAAACATATGCGCTTCTAAAAGTGAGTGCCAAAATAAAATAAATAGAGGAGAGAAAAGACAAGTCAAGATTGTACATTGTACATCATTACGCAAACTTAAATTTCAAAAGCATTAGAAGTAAACAAAGTGAATTCACTGCTTTGATTTTTCCACCAAAATGCGAATTCCTCATCATTCAGCTCAGTGGGGGTCAAGAAAATAGTGATGGTATGAGCATTTTGGAACACAAGTAAAAGAAACCCATTTATGAAATAAAGTCATTCAGCTCCAATTGTTTTTAAAGAGCAGCTCTTATGAAAGTACTATAGGCTGAGAATGCAAAAAGAGTGCCAAACAATAGTGAAACAAATCAAGAACTCTGTTGGCTTGTTGACCCCTTGGGAACAAAAACATCCTTCTTAAGATCAGTGGTCACGGTTCACTGAATTGTGATGAAAGAAACAACTTTTTTTGAGGGTGCTAAAAACATTACGCTTTGTAAACAGCACAAGAAATATTCTAGGCTTGAGCGAAACTAAACATGCTGATAAAACACAGCTATGGCAGCTTAGGGCAATTGAATGAATCTCAGAAATGCGACAACCAGAGTACTGCAGCATACCGTCTTTAGCCATGGAAGGTCTGTGCATAATCAAAAAAGCTCTATACAACCACATCTGACTTAATCATAGGTGATGGATCCTGTGAATTTTTTTTCCATTATTCCTCTGACAGCTCAGTAGCGAATGCTAATGCATGTTTGCACAGACTCAATTTGCCATTAAATGCTAAGCATTTATGACCAGAGCTTTCATCGTTACTCCCTTTCAAGTTGACAGAGGTATTCATATATATGGAACCCAATCAAGTGCCATAAGTCGAATTGAAATGAAACCATTTCAAAACCACAACAGAAGTTTTGCACGAGAAAATGTAATCGCCTCGCCTGATCAGACTTCTTCAAGTTTCATTAACCCGATACGAGTTCTCGAGTGTCTACGCGCGGTTGGAAGCTCCAGGGAAAGAATTCACACCCTCTCCAAATTACAAGTACTTCTAACCAAATAACAGAATACACAAGTAACATGTTTACCCGGCAAAATACAATTAAAAAAAAAAAACATTTCCAAAAGAGATTTGCAATTCAGTCCTGAATTTTACAATGGTGTGATTTTTAACTCGAAAACCACTTGGCGCTGCTCGAAAATTTGATAGATTTAACAGATCGGAGGAATAATTGGAGTATCGAAAGACTGCCCTGAATTGAAGAAGTCATTTTGTTACACAAAACAAAGTATGTCGAGTTGTACTCCGAAGTTTGTTGATCAATCATTTGCCTTGTATTTCAAACAGCGCAAATCACATGCCAGAACAAAAAAGAACATTGGACTGCACAGAAACACAATAAGTTTCGATTCAAGAGAATGACAATTACTGTAGTCGTTCTGACGACTTCTAATTTTATCTGGGGTCAAACAACTTAAACATTATTACTGCCAAATTTCAAAAGGCACCGTACAGCGCAGTTGCTGCAATGAAAACTCCCACCATGAAGGCCTTCAAAAAATTCTTGCGCTAAACTGCCTCACATTCTAAGCAGTTCCTAAGACTTCCGATTCCTTGGAAATTAAAAACAGGTCTCAATTAAGCGAAGCGCTCAAGTACTACAGACAGTTACTATTCAAATATTCACTGCGAGAGAAGTTGACAAACTTCTTTTCTAAACTTAGCCTTTCAAAAACTAAATCAAATGCTTGACAAGAGAAGCAATATCCCATTCTATTAGCGATCTTGACGATTTTAGCCCTAATCTCTGCCGCGGCACCGAAAATAAAATCACTCGACTCGGCCGCTTTCATTAACTACAAAGTCGGTAAGATTATCGTTCGAAAACAACAAAAAGTAAATTGCAATAACATTGCTTAACAACCACCCAATCGCCTTCGGAAAACACTGAATGTAAATTGCCGCTGATAACTATACACTAGAGCTGTCAGGCAACTCAATGAGATATTTCGAGTGTAGAAATCCGGAAAGGCAATTGTAAGGCCGCCGAGAACAAAAAAGCGGTTTGTTATGGTAGGAATTGAGCGAGTAACTTACCGTGCATTGTGTTCATCGGAACCCGATCTCTTTCCACAATGCGACAATCCATTCACACTTTGGCGATGTTGTTCAAATTCAAATTGGTCTCCATCGTCCTCAATCTCGTCAAATCCCAAAACTTTCTCCTCAGGAAGGGTAGGTAAATATCCTCCGTGAAATCTGGCTGTGTGCGAATAACGTTCACATAGCCCTTTAGGACTCGCGCCGCCGCTTTGAATACACTCCTTGTACAGTGTTGTGTTCATAAACCTCGGATAATGATTATTTTTCATGTTCGCCATGACTTCTAATAAAGCCTCCTCAAAAAGCCCACAATCCACAGGCTGATCATTAACATGCTGCGCTACTTTCGTTCTAGTTGAGTCGCTGATTTCTAAAGCATCACAACTCCCAGAGAAAATAAACTTCTGGAAAATCGCTTTGGCGGTTGTCCGCATTTCATGTGAAATCGGCGCCATTCGCTTGAATGATTCGGATGCTCGCCAAAAATCTAGAAGAATTTCACTGTTCTCCTGCCGTAGAAAATGATAAAAAGAGTTAAATCCATGGCAGTCCATAAGCATATCGTTCAAACTAGTAGGCCACCGCTCGCATTGTGGAGTGGACGCTGCGCTACCCTCTGGTTCAAAGCCCAGCGGCGCAAGCTTCTCTTCCTCTGTTTCCAGTCCTGAACAACCACGCATAGCGATCGATTCCTTTTTCGAAAACCTTCTCGGTGTCATTCGAGGACTCGAAAGGAACGAATCTGACCTCAAAGAAGCCAGCAAATTTCCTTTGGAGCGCTCAATGTCGTTCGAATCTTCGCCGGTTGGAGGGGGTCGCATAGTTGTGGGGCAGTCGGCCGCTGATCCGGCCTGTAATATTTCACGTGTGGTAGATTTCTGTTGTGACTCTCTATGACCATAATAAACCTTTCGAGAGCCTTTAGGAAGCGTTTGCTCCAAATCCATAGCTACGAATCGCCGAGAACTGCGGACCGCATTCAGTCGAGATAGGCTAACAACCTGCTTTACAGTCGTTCGTCGGATCTTACTAAGAGAATGCCTCGCAGAGATCAAAAGTACGCCGCGGTGAGCCCCCAAAGCAAATATTCAAATACATATATCACTTGCGACGGTCCGATGAACTGCTCAAAATGTGCTATGTGGCCGATCACTGAAAAATCCCAAACGAAAAATTGGCCACACGATCGAAGATCCAGACGTCCGTGTATTGATCTTGAAAGGCTTCTAGCGCGAGAAAGGTTTCGCAGCGTTCGAAAGCGCTCCGCATTTGCGTCTAAGTGTTTTCAAGTGCGGTAGGCTTGCAAGACTACTTCAAACGGATGCCGCTTAGCAAAAGGCGGCGTACAAACGATCAATCCCTCGGGAGAGAACGTCACAACGGCGTAAGACACCGCACCAATCAGGTGGCGTGGATCGGTGCCCCGGGTGATAGCACGTGCTTTATGCCAACTTCACACATGTTGACGGTGGGTTTAATTAAGTGCAGCTGGTTGAATTTTCTCTGATTGCTTTGCAATGAGAGGTACTGAAAACCCAACGACTTGGGACCGATCTGGGAATAAAGCGGCTCTTTTACGGCCATCTCGATAACTGATTGGGCCGAATCTTCTCTCAGAGCTATTGTGTTCCGTGCTAAATGAGGATTTAGCGCGGCGAATCGTCTTAAACCACAAAATGAATTAAACGCTCTCATTACCAATCTTGGATAAGCAAAGAGCGGCGACTCAAAAGGATATCAATGTCAATCAAATTCGACAAGTGAGCTCTGGTGATTGTTTGGTTGGCGGGGAAATTTGTTTGTAATTTTTAATCAGCATTCATGCCATACTTTTCAAAATGGCTACTTTGGAGAGTCAACTTCGAGCGAACTACAGCCCTCTTTCTGGCCGCTTTTGATTGCTTCTTGACTCTTCGGAAAAAGGGCAGACATTTTTCAGTATCTCTCGCCATTTATTTTTAGCGGCTGCCTTCTGAAATCTCCGGCATTCTTATTCAAAATATCTGCTAATGAAATTTTTTTTATTTGATGAAGTGTCGGACCCATGCAATTCACTTAGCACTTTATTGGCTGTATTACAGGATAATATTTTTCTGCAATGGTCGTTCTTGCGAACGAAAGCGGCGTCCTTTCCTCCCGGCTTAGTTGAAATTAAGTTAAGGACCGAGAAAGATCTCAACTTAACGTTGGCAGCGATAATTATTTGTCCTTTCGGGTTCCTTTTTGTGTCGCTAGAGTGTGTTTGCCGGAGTAATTTACGAGTAAAAAGTTGATTATAACGGAGAGGTGTACAAACACCGTTTAGAATTTGCTTGCCTTACTTTTCAGAAACTGAAAACCGCACTTTGTGATTGAACTTATCTCGAGTAGCGGGGCCACAAATTTTAATATTCCACGGAACACAAGCGCTTTGGCGGTGCCTTTAATGTATGACCGGTCCTTTTGATGAGAAAAAGTTATGTTCCCTTATCATCCCTTTTCTTGCGTTTTTACCCGTTTGACACTCTGGGTACCGGTGATAGGGTATTTTTTTGCCCTTCGCAAACCAAACATTTGCGCCATGTTAGCATGGGTCGTAAGCTCGATTATATGCGCCCAAAAAAAATGATATTTTGTTGTTTGGAACTTCTGTAAAGAAACCCGTCTTAAAATAACGACTTTCAAATGAGCATGCTGGGCATATTTGATTGCCCCGTGATGTTTTGTGATATTGTAATACACTTGCCGGTCACGCAGCAAATAAAAATTACGAAACCAAATGGATCTTGCTCTGCTCTTAGCTACAGTGAAAAGACTTCGTCGCCGCTAAAAATAGTGCGATTTCGTGGCACGGAAACTGAATATACGGCAGAAAGCAAATGTGTTAGTTTTCCTGTCTGTTATGTTACCAACGCAAACTATTTAATTTCGCCAGGCGGCGCGGATGTAAGGTTCGTGTTAAAACATTTGAGAAACCAACCCAAAGGAAAATTAGTAACCATACCCACGGCGCCTGATAGACTTTCGACGATGACTTTTGTTTCCCAATTATTAAAAGTCTCGAGCTATAAATCCACAATTAGCCACCTTCGTTTTTGCACGTTTATAACGAGAGCCTATTTTGGAATCGTTTGAAGTTGCCGCTTTTCATTGCCAAAGTGTCAATTACTCACTGAATCGAAAAAAATTGAAGATGGCACTGCCGAGGCGGCGGCACGGTCTTGTAGTTTCACAGTCTCAAAGGTTTCGTCTGTTTCCGATTGTAATAGTAAGTTAACAAAGGCAATCTCTACATTCGATGAAAATTAAAAACGGCTCAAAGTTTGGCGATCGATCTCGCGATCGAGGAAAATAAATCGGAAATCAACCCAACGTTCAAACCGGAAGTGCGTTATTTTAAACCGGAAATAGAAATGTTATCACGGCAAAACGTGCAGGCGAGCAGGACTTCTTGTCTATTCGCTATTTCGACAAATTACGCTGGCTTAGTGAGGCCAATTAGGGAAAGGACAAAATGTTGTCGTTTTAATGGGAGCGTTTAGCGTAAGTAGACGATCACTGGGAAAACTGTAGGACGAGAAAAAAATGTTGACATCGTTGCTTAGAGTGTGAGTTGAACCCTCGAGTCTGGTCTAAATAGGAAAGGAATTCAAACTTTGAACAATCGTATTTCGGGAAACGTAGGTTCTAGAGGCTAATCATAAACTAATGAGTTCACGGGAACTATAGCCTGTCGCTCTCACGCCACAAAGAGAAGTCATTCATGGCAGGCGGGAAAAGATGATCAAAGATGGCTTTAGCCTTTCTCACAAAAACAGATGGAAAATTCAATACTTAAAGAAATTTAATATGAAAATTTATAAAATGAAACCGGAGCCTGGTCAAAATGGAGCACTCAAAATTAATATCGGCAACGGTCGGCTTGGCCAAAGAACCGATATTTTTGGAACGATTTGGGGGCAACTTGGACATTTTAATGGATTGAGAAATTCTACATTTTTATGGAGTGTCAAAAAATTAACACTTTATTTACAATGATAATTTTTTTTACCTGGTTTCATAAAACATGAAGAGGGAGAAACGATTTTCTCGGAACAGCTTTAGCCATGAATTTTTTTTCACCACAAAAATGCAGAATTTAGTTTCGGTAAAATAATTTAAGAAAATACTTAGTTGAACTAAAACGAGCAAGATAACCGGAAACAAAAGTGAATATGCAGGGCACTTTCGATTGCCAAAAGAAATTGCAATTAAAACAAAAAGAAAGGATTCTTGATATAAACTCAATGCCGTTAATGAGTTTTTGAGCATATTCACAGATGAAGTAAGAAAAAATATGCTGTAAATTTTAACTCGGCAAACAAACTTTGAGAAACATATCAACATATCAGGTGATTCTGGTTATCGTCTGCATTTTCTACTTTTCTTCTTCTTTTCATCATTTACTGGAAATGATAATCAGACACGGCTAACATCTCGATCTTATGCTTCGTTATTCGATTTTCAGTTGTGCCCAACTTATCTCCAGCAACAAACTCCATTACAGAATTCGTCTTAAACTGAAATCGATCAGGAAAATCTAATTGGCTGATTTGCAGTCCGACAAAGTTATCAAACCGCGATAAAACCAATCCTGACAGAAGAAGATTACGAAATGGTTGTTTTAAAATCCCATTAGCCGATATGAAAAATGGAAAGTTACCGTGCAAAAGGAATGGCAACACAGACTTACCGTTATTCTTAGCTCTTTAGATGACTTCCAACAATGCAATGCGTTTTTCCCAATTATGGCAATATCTTCTTGGAAATTGTCTTTCGCAATGTCGTCTCTTAACGATTACGTTTGCAATCCATATACTAAAACGAAAAATTTAACTTCTTGAAAGCTGAACTGAATCAAGGCGAATAAAGTAAATTCACCGAAAAAAATATCATTACATGTTTCAATTTTAACAGCAGAATTTAAAAACCCTCGGCGTGCCTCAATGTTTATACAGATGGTTGAAGAGGTTTGTTTTTTAAAAAGTTGAACACTCACCAAAACTGCTATCTCGAAATGAGTATTTAATCCCTACCGGCAAGATCTTGTCTATTGAAAATGCCGGCTCATGAAAATAAATTGCATTTATAGTCCTAAATGATTTGAGTCGGTGTATTTTGATGAGGCAAAACAAGCCCTGAACGATAAATAGTCTAGACTCTTCCAATGCAAGCTGTACTCGGCGGACAATGTTCAAAGTTTGCGGCCTTGTATTTTTCATCTCAATTCAGCTCATTAAGAAAGGACTTTTTCTTGAATACGAGAAAGAAATCATTCATTTTAACCCGCCTTTGCTATATAGTACACAATGCTCAGGGAAAAGCCAATTAAAGTTTAGCTAAACGATTAAAAAATGTCGGCTGTTTTCGACTAATTCTAACTGATGGTTGCGGTTACCAAAAATATTATAAAACTTCACTGCCCTATACATGAAAAGTCGAGACTTTCAAGTACGAAACCCATTTAAAGGAGCTTAAGGCATACAAAAACAAATAACACTGTTTTAAGAAAGATAAAATGGGAAAAGCGACAGAAAGTCTGTTGATCTGAAACGCAAAAACAATAGCTAACAAGGTGGTGTAAAGCGGTTAGAACACAGAACAAGTTCAACAAAGCCCAAAACTAGCCTCATTTTGTATTTAATTATAAAATTGCTTTAAACAACCCTGAAAAACCTGGCGTTAATTCGACGGCTATTAACTGACACGAGAAAAAGCAAGAAATAAATGCCAAAAAAATAAGATTTAAAACGCCCCGCACAGCGCAGTGACAGAGGCATACTTAAAAAATGAGCGCGTTTTAATATCGTGGTGATATTCACGTTGCTTTAGGCGCCATTTTTCATCACCGAACTTCAAAGCCAAAGTATAAACCGTCTAAATATAATTGTTATTTTGCAATTCAAGCGGAGTAGAAGTGTGTGCGCCGCAAGCTCATTAAGATATGATAAACGACCACAAATGCAAACTATGCCACATTTTAAGTGCTTTCAGTTCAAAATTTATCTTTGACACACCGCCAAAGTTTAAACAGGCTTCGTTCGTAACAAGACCTTCGGCTCACAGCTTTTCTTTTACGATCGGCCTCTCTTGAAATGCTGATAAGAAGATCTATAATTATCATTATTGTAGTCCACCTGATCCTACAATAACATAATTATCATAATTAGGAAGAAGACTCGTTAAGATCAAGAGCACAGAGGACGCCTAATTCGGGCATGCGCTAACGTATGTTTGCTTTCTGTTTGGTTTGTGTTTAAACATTGGGTTTAAGATGAAACAATCCGTCTTGTAGGACTTCTAAACTTCAATTTATAAATTTCCACTGATATTTTCCTTTCCAATACGTCGGTCATCTTCCCCAAGTTGGACCATTTTATATCATTTATATCAGTGATAAAAAAATATAATTTAAATATTTTATATATTTCGAGCTCAAGTATAACATCGAGAGACACGCAGTTGTTGAATAACTATCGGTAATTTTTCAGGGGTGTGAACGACACGATAAAACACCCACACCTCAATTGCGACTTCACCTCTAATAAAACCCGAAAACACTGGAAACGTCGCAGGGAATCTAAGTCTTATTACAAAGCTTGGGCTAAATGTTTTATCTTTAGTTGGCTCAACATCACTTCCACGCACAAACTCAAAGCTTGTTTAAAGAATTTCTCACTTTTGACTGTACGAAGGCAGATGAAGCGTTGGAAAGATTTAAAAAAAACAGTTATTCATATCGAATTTTCAACGCAGTGTCAATTTTACTTTATATAAGTGTGAAATATGCAAATAAGGATTTAACAACATTTGCACCATCAGGAAAACCTGATCAAGACCGATCTAGCTAGTTTAACCAAGCTTATAACTATGATGACAGTAAAATAAATATTGGAAAAAAATAGTTATGAACACCTTATGCTGAAATTATTCTTTTCTTAACCAAAAGCAGCCATGTGCTGGGCCACTGGTAATTGAAATGTTTGCGGTGTAGAATGGTTTCCTAGTGTAACTCTTTGGTGGTCATTAAAAAAAGGCTCGTCTAACTTTAGCCTAAGAAAGATTCCTAAGTTGTTAAAATTTCATAATGCCAATTTATAGAACGACAACGGCTATTTTTTCACACTGTTTGATAACAATATTTTCAATTCCTTCATTACGTTTTGTCTTGTATTGCTACATATGGAGAGTAAATGGTTTCCTTTTTATATCTGAATCTCTAAGCCATTTCAACGACATCACGATCGTGATCGACTGGGGAAGGTGACTTGACAGAAACGAATGGGACAATTTCTTTGCCGGGTCAGTTTTCTAATGCCTCTAGCGAATTCCCTTTCGTTGTGGAAGAGTATCTTTGGAAATGAATAGCGCAAGATAAGAACTCTATGCCAAAGTCCATGTTTTGTGCGCACGGATTTCTGCAGAGCGCATTTGGTGGCCTCACCTGTAAAGGTTGTCAAGGAATAGGTGAAATCCGCACTGAAAAATTTACAAATGAAACGACGAAAAGTCTTTCCTGAAAAGCGAGTAACACAGCGGCGAGTGAGCGGCTAAAGCACAGAAAAGTTTCATATATCCGGAAATTCGGGGTATATTTCATTTTATTATGAAATTATGCGTGGACAAGATTAACTCGAGTACAAAAATCAGTGGGTAGAAAATTTCAGAAATGCATGTTGTTTATTGTTAAGCAATACATACCTACGTACAAAATATACACAAGCGTCATTCCACTGACTATTTTTATATCACTATCAACTGAGATTGGAAAAACTCCTCTTGCTCAAAGCGATGTCAGTTTCGGGTTGACCCGCTGAGTTTCCCCGGAATGCCTCGCAAGCCAGGTGGCCAGATTTCGATAGAAGTGGCAAAAAATTCACTTCGCCATTGCGTTTCTAAACGCAGAGATTCATCTTTGAGTTGATATTTTTATGAGTTCTTCAGTCCTTGCTTAAACACCAGCCTCATAAAATAGTCCTTGACAGATTGCGCGCCAGTGCCAAGCGGATCAGGTCGATCTTGTCTCTCTCTTCGTCTTGTTGTGCCTGGGGAGAAATTGGTTCATGTAAGGTGTTGAGTAATACAACAAAATACACCTTTTTCTCAAGTTCTACTGGCCCATGAGGGCCAACGTCTATTGAAGGTTTCTGCGTTATCAAGAAGCAACTGGGGTTATCACTCCTTTCCTCCCAACCTTTTGTTTAATTGAACACTGAATTGACCGGTATCATTTGCACCTCAGCAGAGGGAGGTATTGCGAGACTAGTGTCTTGCAAAACGAAACGGCAAAACCTATACTATAAAGCTTAAAGCGGGACCTGTTTCCGGCGCAATAACCACAAAACAACAACAGACGGGAACAAGGAGCCATCGAGAGTACACACGTCATGTAAGCATCACTGAATGAAACCTAGCTGAATAATGCGGGAATCTTAGAACTGAAGAACGCCCGGCACAAAGCAAGTAGGCGGAAGAAGTTTATTGGGACCCAGTGCCTTGTAACGAATTGTATGCGAGTAAAGAACAGTATCAACATGAAACACTCTAATCTCGATCAAACCATTTGCACTTTAGATCTTAGCGACGTTTCGTGCAAACAGAGCAAATTATCGTGACATCGACGAACGCAGCGTAAGTGGAACTCTTCAAAAACCTGGACCAAGTTCAACGGTTTAAGTGCAGAGAGCGTCAATGGATGATTTACTGACGTGCTGTAGACGATTAGCACTTTAAAACGACGTCAGAACAAAGTCTAACACGTCACACAGAGCGAATTCTTGCAAGTGCCTCTCTAAAAATACTCTAACACCGATTCATCGATATGCGTCTCTTTTTCTGTGCAACAAGTGTAGGTCACGGCCTCATAACACACGTCTGCCAGGCTTCCGTAGTCTACCGAAACGTAAACACTTACCGAGAAGCCGGCGGTGCACGAAAGTGTCTTTCCAATAATCCTAAATCCAGAGGTACTCTATGAAGAACAGGCAAGGTCAGCTATTTTTAGCATGACTTCAAGAAGCTCAAAAACACGCAGTAATGATAGGAATTCCAGAAATAAGAGTTTGATTTTGTAGAAAAGTACTCGAAAAATGGTAAGAACCCATTAAGAAGTGAGGATACCAATGGATGGCGAGAAGCAAAATGGATTCCAATTTGCGGGAAGAAAGCGTAACGCACATCATTTGACGTTAATTTGGCTTCCGACTTCTTTGAATATCATAAATCTCCCCATCTTGAGCCTTTGCGGGATGTCATGTTACCTCTTTAGCATTTTTGGACCTTCCTGAGCTATTGTTTTGATCTTAAGGAAATTTTGTAAGCCCCACATAATGACTTCACATTACATTCCTGTCGAACCGAAAGCACGCGGATCACTATAAACTCTCCCGCAACGCCGGCAACGCGTTCACACGGAAACTAAAACCTGTTAAAGGCCTGTTAAAGTTTGTGCTAGTATTGTCCTTTTCCACGCTTGCAGACTGCGGGGAACGTACGTAATTATTAACGCTCAAATGATACAAGGAAAATTGGAAAAAGTTCATAGTCTGTAAATCAAGATCAGAAAAAGAAAGCTTTGCGTGAACTGAAATCTGCCTGTGTTGTTTGATCAACCATTTCTCTAGCCTCTCCGCATTACGTGTATTCCTTCCAAAACGATGTCAGACGGAAGCCGATTGTCATATTTGGCATCTACTGGCTTCATCACCGGTGAGTTTGGAGTTTACATCGATAGTAAAGAATCCAACCCTTTGTGAACTTTCGACTCGGTGACATTTTCTGAGCACTAAAATTAAGGAAGGGTTTTTCTCTGATCACTTTTCTCCCGAAATAAAACGCGTGAGTTCCTTTCATTAGTCATTTTGAGGGAGGGAGGAGAATATTGTTAGGCTTACATAGTTAGTGTTTTTTTTTCCTCACTCTGGATTGCGAAAATGCGATTTGCAGTCAAGAGGGGCGAATAAAAGGTGCCGCAGACTATTTTTTACCTCTAAATTCGTGATCGAAAATATTCAAATCTGAAAGATAAATATTGAATTTGGCGCTGATAGCGGTGATATTGGTGGCTAACTGGTTAACCATCTTCCCAGACGGTCTTTTGCGGTGCTCCCCGGCCGGCAGACTACAGAAATTGATACTCGATATTAGAAGGGCGGAAAAAGTAGCTTAAACAAGACCGTAACTCGGTATAACGACCGAGAGAGTATGAGTAACAAACATTGAGACCTCTGTTACAAGCTTAGTACTAATCAGGCCGCACACTTCCGGATGGGAGGCAATTTACTTCAGACAACAGAGCAATGCGTTTTCACGCACGTGCAGGAGGAGACACTGAAAAAACAATCACCGAAGGTTTCAGCCCACTACAGTGAGCGGTGGGCTGGAGACAAGTAAGGTGGCAGTAGGACAAGAAAGGTGTACAGCTCGGTTCTTTCTACCAAAGGAAAAGGAGAGTGTTGTTTGGGGGAGAGTCTCCTTTCCAGGCCCTGGCGGAGTTTTCGAGTCTCGCGGATTCCCAAGGGATCAACTCAACAGAAGAGGCACGCGATATGGCGGACGAGTTTATCGGCCCTATCACAACTTTGAAGATAACCAAGCCGCAAAACATACCTTAAAGAGCACGAGAATCTCGCTGAGTTAATTTGAAGGCGATACCTAATCATTAAAGTATTTATTAACCTGTCAGGATTTCTCCTGCTTCCGGCAGAAACAGAGAGTACAAAAGTACGAAAATCTACAGGCTAGAGGAATCTGCGACTGCACGTGCCCCTGTACCGGCTACCTTTGATCGGCTTAAACAAAAGTGTTACTGATAATTCACCGTTGGCCTTTCGAAAGGATAAGCCCAGACTAAAACTTATTAATGTCCGTTTCAAAACACATAGCGACCAACACAAACAAGGATAAAAAGAAAGTTCGCGCAAGAAAAACAAAGGGCCCGACGGACTTTCACACCGCTGAGACAGGAGAAGAGTGCTTCTGATGACTGCTTCGAGAACATTTAATCGAAACTGAAAACACCACAAAGAAAACAAACCCTTCTGGTTCAAGCGTTACGAGACATCGAAAGTAAACATAATTTAAAAACAGAGGAGTACCGCCGAGTTTGTTTAGTTTCTTTGCTTTTTAACAAGACCAAACACGAGACTTCAGTTTCAATATTTTTTTCTGATCTCGAAGATCGAGACTAATTAGAAACATATTTCAGCAAGAGCGCACCGACAGTGGGAATACAAAGACATCATATCGATGTTAAATGTTGATATAAACAATTCGCGTCAAATTCAGCCCCCCGTCTTCACAACCATAAACTATGTGATTTCAAAGCAGGAACTACTTAATGCAAAAGAAACAGGAAGGTCGGATGAAAAAAAATTCAAGAAAAATATGCGAACAGACAGCCAAAATAGCGGGCAAACGAGGCTTTAAAGGGAGGTCGCCATTTTCACTCAAAAGTTGACGTCCACAACATTTCATTGCAGTTCTAGCAACTCTTTTTTCTTCCTCATTCATGCCTTTCAGTCTGTTTTGAGTATTTTTTACAACAAGAGTATTAGCGCGTTTCTTAGATGTCCATAGTTTGACGATAGTCTAAATTATAAATTGTTTGTCACCACTTTCCCAGAATAAACGCATCAGTTTCGCTTCGCCAGGACGTGCGAAAGAAACAGTCAGTGAGGTCTTCAGCGGGGAACTAACTCAATAATTCATCAAAGAAAACTCCGACAAAACTTAACTTTAATTGCCAGAATTGGAACGGCACATGTGGCCTCGGGAAAATAATGCAAGTATTAATTAGATTTTTTGCGCGTCCACTGGACAATAAGTTTCTAAAGACTCCAAGGCGGGGCGCTTATTTTGGAACGGAGGGCGGCAGGAATTTGTTTAGGTCGGTGACCGTTTACGGCCCAGCGCCTTGCATTGCTGAGTACAACACCGCTTATCGACTTGCTGCGAAATAACTACATGCACATGAAAAATTTATTTCTGTGTTAAGGATGGCGGTTTCTTTGAAGGACATTCTTGAAAGCTGGTGATAAATTTAACATCTGACGCAAGACGAATAAGGAAAAAAAGATAAACAAGGAATTTTACTTGAGTTCTACAAGACTGCTGTTATCAAATGACTTGAAAAAGACTCCAAAAAGAGACGTTAAAAGACCGGTTTACTTAAACGAAGCCGGGTTTCCTTTAATACAAGAAGTCTTTAAAAGGTTTCCCCAAAGAATGGGATAACAGGTTTCCTTTAAAGAATGCCGGTTACTATAAAAAGGTTTTCTGAAGAGGTTTAAAATGGTTTCCTCACTTAGAATTCGTAAGGTTTTCGTCGAAGGAGTCTTTAAAAGGTTTCCGAAGCAGATGTTTTCAAATGGTTTTCTAATAAAAGTTTTAGAAAGGTTTCTGAAAGACACTTCACAGTGCAGAGTGTTATTAAAAACTATTACTACAAAGGGTTTCCCGAACCATTTTGCAAGGGTTAACAAGTGGTCCCCAATGTTCAGTCTATCAAAGGAAAGAAATGCTTGCATTTACTTAACGGTGCGGTGAATTGAAATATAACCAGTCACCTGTGGACAGGGGCACGTCTGGTGTGCCAAGGCAAAAAAATAAAAACGTTTCAGTTCATTGTTTAAAAAACTTGTCAACAAATTCCCTGATTTTCAATAGCCTGATCGAGGGAGGGGAAATTTAGTGAATAGTAGCAAGCAAAAAGATGACAAAAAAAAAAAAAAAAAGAAAGAAAGAAAAAGAAGCCAAGAAAACCGACAGCGCCCATTTTTATTTCCTTTTGCGGTCGCTTCCATTTCGCTCATTTAATTCCAGACTGTATTTTCACAAGACGTGTCATACTTCACTTCAATCTGCACTGTTTCGTGCCCTGTTCTTAGGCCTGACCTCTAACAAGCGTTTTCCACTATACGCCATGCACGTTTCCCACTATACAGTATGCACGTATATAAGTCTAGAGGTGTTTCAAAAGTATCTGTCAATTAAATCATTTCAACAGGTATTACAGAGTCCGTATAATGCTAAATCGACAAAAGAAAAAGAAAACGTGATCGGAAAATTAGAGGAAACCTTCACAACTCCGTGTTATCTTTCTACTTTTTTTTTTTACATAGGATGATATTCTCTCGCCGGCTCAATTGAAGCGACACAGCTGAAGAAAAGTGATCGCCCGAGGCAACAGGTATGGAACGCACGAGCCAATATCATGACAACATCTCGACAAGAAGCACGTGCGACAACGCTAAATGCACGGAAGTTGGACATCATCCAGTTCTGGTGCATTAGCAGAGAAGCTACACACAAGCCAGGCTGGAGAGCGATATGCGAATTAACTACTTCCTACCGCCAGTCGCCGGCCATGGATCGTGGCAAATTAAGAGAATAGGCATTCGTTAACTGGGCGCTCTCCAACGCAGAATTGGCGAGAAAATTAAAAACATCTGTACTGAAAACATTAAAAGAACTAAGGGAACGATCACATAGTCTAAGATAAAATTTCAACATTTACCCATCAAGTAGTCAACGAAATGTGTAGAGACCATTAAAGGATCCTACAGGCCCTGTCCACACAACACCGTAGGAATTTAAAAACGCAACTATAACACCGGTCATTTTGGATTTGTGTTTGAGGAAAAGTCGGTCAGGGAAATCACACGATTATCGTCACGCGATCGATTTCGAAAAGCTGCGTTTTCAAAAACCTCCGTTTTCGTGACGGATTAGGGTGGACGTTAGGCCAAACCATAGAAATAAAGCTGCGTTTTCAAATTCCTTTGGCGTAGAGTGGACGCTGCCTTAGTCCCTTAGTCGTGAATATTTGTGTCGTCAGCAGATCTTATTAAAAAGAGTTCGCTGCTTTTCGGCTGAGAACCCGAGGGAATTCACCGTTACCTAGGCGTTTTTCCTTTTGCCGTAGCGACAAGATCTTACAATATTCATTAAAGAACAAGAATCTAGCCTCAGTCGCAACTATAACTGATTTGCTCAGTGAAGAAACAAGCGACAGTAAAAAGAAGTTGTTATGGCAAGATTTTTCGCTTGACTTTCTGCCCGTTCGAGTCTGTTGCTTGCATGAACAGGTGGAATAAAATTAATTCGCCAAACAAATTAAGCATCTCTCGTCACAAGTTTCTTCGAGATGCATGTACTAACTACGCGCTGAAAAACACTTGTTTTCCCAAGTGCAGAATCATTTTTTCTTAGATCTCTGCATCGCTGTTTTTTTATCTCCAAGATATTTGTTTAATTAACAGACTTTTCATATTGAAACATTTTGTCAGCGATAAATGCACAATCATATACACAAGAAGAAACTTTGGGAGTGTTGACACCAAAAGAATGTTTAAATATCGCTTTTTAATTGTTATCATATTTGAAATGTTAGTGCCTGCAACATCTGAGACACGACCAAAGAGACCAAGTTACCTACAAACGATCAACACATCAGAACGTTAAACAAACACAATAATTGACAATGGAAACAGGTATTGACAGGTTGGAGAACTGGTCAGATGAAACAAATAATCTCAATCAACAACTGAAAACTAGCAGGACTCGAGCAATCCGGTTTTTTCGTCGAACGAAAACCGATTGAAAATGCCAAATTTCCGAAAAGTGACAGACAATCGAAGCTCAATTGTCTGTCACGTTTTGTCTCTTTGCGCAATACATCCAGCGCCAAAGAACATTACGATCGACACTTTTCACTGAAGCAGATGGGCGATACGAAAAAAGAGAATCATCAGTCAACTGGAAGAAATTGCCTTGATGAATCATCAATTTCTCAGAAGTGACATGTAAAGAACACTGTGGCAGTCAGTAAGGAGAATTCAGATGTCGAACTAAGGATTGTCATGGATCGCCACTTCGACGCCACCCACAGCACCACCCCCTCCCCCCCAAAAAGACACAAACAAAAACAGGTGTAGAGCATACTGAGCCCACCAAAATTGTGTCAGCGAACTTGCCAGGTAGCACAACGTCAAACCAAACCCGAGCCGGCGTAGAAATTTTCGCACCGGGAGCCAGCATGAGCAAAAGCAACATTTCTTTCGCAGAGCGAAAGAAGAGACTGGAAAAACTCGTTAAAATCATAACTATTTGCGTTATTTGTGATGGTAAGAGTGAGAATGAGACATGACTGTTAGCAAGTCACGACTACAGACAGGCAGGGCAATCCATGAGCAAAAACATACAGGGTCATGAAAAAGGGAAATAATCACCTTTGTGCTTTTAGCTGACTTCAGTCCAGGGCCCTGACTCAAGGTCCTCAATAAAGGCTCCTCGGCGGGCGCCCGGTCAGGATGTTCCAGGTACTCCTTGGTTCTGAATGAGAGCCTTATTTCCTCTAAACAGTGCATTAATTCATATGTCTGTGAGCTGGAAAAGATGACCTGGGCAAGGAAGGCAGAAAAAAAGATGATCACCTTACAAAATTCACCTTACTTGCTATAAATATCCTTGGAAGAGTTTGACCTTCGATCTGAAGTCACAGATGCTCCTGAGGCTCGTCAAGTAATCTTCAAATCAGATTTAATGGGAGGAGGATAATGAAGTCCACTGTGCTCCTCCCATTTAAGTCTTATACTTCTAAGCTGTCACGCAACGTTTCTTCCAAGTGAATCACTGCGTCACGACTCACGCCACGTGTGGAGATGGGAGATTGTTTCAGCCTAACTAATTGTGATCCCAAACTCTAGCTTTTTCGTCAACCTTTTTATACACTCTCTTTTCTCTACGTCATTAGGGAGATAGGGTAGTTAAATCAATGTTTACAGAAGTTCTATTTGCTTGAGCATAGAAACGAGCATCCTTACCTCTTTATGTTCCAACAGAGGCAAAGTGTCCGTTAAAAGCGTCAACCACAACCTGATAATCACAGCAAAGAAAACACTGCGTTACATAGACTGTCCCGCCTACTTTCACAGGGATGGGAAGGGGTGGCTAACTGCACAAGTTCCGAGCTTTTTCCACAAGGGAGGGGCGAGAGGATGAAACAGCAAAAAAGCGGGCTTGTAGCGAGCTCACAAATTTAAAAGCAGCGCAGAATAATGATCATGAATAAATAAACTGTTCAGAAGGTGTGATATTTGCATAAGACGAAAACCTATAAGAGTGGACTGAAGCGCGCTCGATACTATACAACAACACCCCAAACATGTCGCGTATATTTACTTAGGTCAAGCAAGTTTTGAAATTCTGCCTTATTGAGAAAAGTACACTTTAACTCTAAATATCTTCGCCAGTTTAATAACCAAAACAGAACCAAGAAAATATTTTTGTTTTGCTCTAAATCATGTGAAAGCTTTCAATGTGTGAGGTCCAATGCAAAACAGAACAGATATGACTAATCTGGATTAGTCACGGTATTTTGAGTTATTTTGGCCACGTACAAAAATTATCTTTAAATTCAAGGAAACCTGAAAATAGCAGTTTACTAAGATAGAAAAACACCAAAGAGATAATAATAAACCTTAAAGGAACAAGGTCGGTTAAGGATGGAGAAGATTAACACGGATTACAAACAACAAGCCTGGAAAATTTAGGCTTAACTTTTCAAGATGCGCAGACCGTGAGGTACGCCTTTTAAATCCGACAAATTCGACAAATCCACTACAAATTGAAATCGCATTTTAGATTTGGAAAATAGAATTCGGGAAAGAGATGCAGATCTGCATGATTGGGTGAATCTAGATCATGATCCACTTACTGACACACAAGCTCAATACCACCTCCAAACCACACCCAGGATTCCTCGCCAACGAAGATGTCATGAAAAGGTTATCAAAAACTCAGGCAATCGACTGGTTTTCAAATTGTCCTCTCTGAAAATCTGTCAAGAAGTCGTCTATTTTCTCCCCTTTTGTTACCTCGCATTAAGCATATCAAAAACACCTCATTACATCAGACTGACTCCAAACTCTGGTTGAGCGGAGTAAAAAAATACAATGTACATTGCATGAAAAGAAAATATATTTTTGAATTCAAACGAATGAAGACGGAACAAATATCACTAAAACGTTCTCGTTTAAATTGACCGAAAATAACAGAAGGCAAGTGTTTTTTTCTCAATCAATCCCGTCGTAACCATTTTTACTACTTCAGCCCATTATCTGGAATTTCATTAGATTTTAAGACCATTCTGCATCACTAGACTCACTAGAACCGTCTAAATAACCTGATCAAGGTCTTTCAATGCACCGGTCCACAAAACCTCGGAGCACTTGTTGGAGAAAACGACACGAAACACTTCAGCGGGCTACAGCAATTAATCAATAATTGCTTCCTGAAAAACAACAAAACCACCACCATTTCACGTCCAATATCTTTAATGCACCGGGTGTCCGCCGTTAGCTTTGTTTTCCTTCGCCGCAAGAGACTATATCGACACAAACTTTAAACTATAACCTGTGCTGTACACAAAAGCTCAGTCAAGGATTTCATACGCCCGTCTCACGGTACTCTAAATTACACAGCAGCTTTATCCAAGGCAATGCCAAATTACCTCGGGTCTAACTGGCTTGAAAATTAAACCTCTGCTTCTGAACGACCGCAGAAAGTCGTTTGCGTGCTCCATTGAAAGCAAACGCCGCCTAAAAACCGCCTCAAGGAATAACACACTCAAGATTTCATTTAAATGCAGATGGTTATTTTTAATGGTCGCTAAGAAGGCGGGCAAACGGAGGTCATGGGCGGTCAGTGCGTATGTTTAACTATTGCTTTTCTCCCTCTGCATTGTCGGAAAGAAAAACACACTTACAGTGGGAGTAAAAAGCAAATCAAGGGAAAAAGCACTTTATCCCATGAAAGCAATTTAGTTAACAAGGCAAGGCGTGTTTTCGTGACATGGCGGCAGTTCTCAAAGGTGAATTAGCGGAATATAAGAGGAGATGTCGTGATCCGAGCGCCAAATATTAATGACTGCGGCACAAAGGACCATTACGCAGCATTTTAATCTCCGTGAACCGGCGGTAGGAGCGACTTCCTTGTGAAAAAGTATTTCCACGGCACTTATAACTGAATTAATATCAATTATTCTTTGATGATCGCGGAACACACTCGAATCCTCAAGGAATCTTGACTTTAACAGTTTCCTGTACATGATAAAATCCAGAAAAGGAAGAAACAAAATACGTCGTGTGAAGGTCCGTCGCACGCGATAGAACTTTCAATTGCATGTGGGTTGAGTTTGTTGTTGGTTCTTGCCTTGCTCCGAGGGTTTTTCTCTGGGTTCTCCGGTTTTCCTCCGTCCACAAAAACCAACATCTCCAAATTCCAATTCGACCAGGATAGAGGACCTGCATGAAAAGCAGCTAGGGTCGATGTGGCTTCCTCTCTAAATATTGTAATTTATTTTTTATTTATTTAATTCCAACTGTAAGTTATAGAAATGGGAGAAGTACTGAAATGTTCTTTTTTTCTTTCCCGTTGTATTTATCCTAAATTTCGTAAAGTTTCCTCCTCATACAAACCAAGGGGAGTTCACAATGTCTCTGTTTTGTTCTAAATTCAGTTTTTATTGTCATTCAATAATATAGAAACGGGATGCATTTCTCGTGTTTCCATAGAATGTTAGATACATGAGTGAAAGTTTCCGAGAGCACAAGAAATGATTGAATATCAGGAGCCCTAAATCGGATGTTTCGAGAACGGACTCCTCAAACCGTCGGAAGTGTTTATAGTCCATAGGGCCTTGCCGTGGTCAAAAAGAACAAGCGTCCGTCGGTACGCAATCCAATTTTTAGAGAGTAACTCAGCCAATACCAGACACCAAAATTTGAAATATAAATATAAAACAAAATTTTCCAGACTTAAGGCCCAAAACTAAGGAAATGTTAAGCGATCGGGCGAGGTAAAAGGCAGCCGAGACTGAAAAGGACTTCAAGACTCGCAATGAAAGTGTTTCGGGTGTTGGCCGGGATGAAGTGATGTCATTTTGTGTGAGCCAGTATTTTAGCGACGTAAAAATCATCTTGTCATGGAAGATAGTCATCAGATAATACAGCCTAATCTTCGGTAACGTACGCCCGGATACACCCGAAAGACAACGCCCTTCATCAGAAACTCGTGCACTGATCCTGTTGTTTCTTTTAAGACAGCTTTTCATTTGTAACCTCTTATAAAGGACACCTCCACGACAATCGCGACAATTTCCTTCGAGGTCCACTTTAGTTGGTTCACAGTAAAATAAACCTACCGTAAGCGAACTGGTAACGAAATCAATCTGTATTATTGAACTATCCAAAGCTTACGGGAAGTTTGACCACAGTTTGATGAAGCAAAACGCTTCCACTGCATGGACCACGTTGTTTCAAAGCCGATTCACCGTAATCCGATCCAGGATTAACAGTCAAAATCTGAACAGAGGTTTCTATGAAAGCCGGCATTTCACACTGCTAACGCTTTGTGCTTTTTGACTTAAAACAAAGTGAAAACTTAAGGACAAAGAAAATAAATAGCTCGGAGAACCTCACTGAAAAAAATACAAAAGTGAAATTCAAATTGACGCTAAGCCAAGATTAACATAATCTTGCTTCGAGCAACCAAACCTGGCTGAATAGTCCTCAATAGAGTAGGTATGACTTGACACACCGAAAGATCGTCACGGATTATTCTCCACACCTAATCTCACATGTGAGTCTGTTATAGCAGGGAATCATTCGGTCACATTATAGCGCCTCAGGTGCAATTTTAATTGATGTTTTAATGTCGCCTTGAGCAGAGCTTTTCTTTAAATACACGCTGACCCATTGATATCAATCAAAGCCTGACTAAAGGTATTGCAATCGTCGGNTCAGAACGTTAAACAAACACAATAATTGACAATGGAAACAGGTATTGACAGGTTGGAGAACTGGTCAGATGAAACAAATAATCTCAATCAACAACTGAAAACTAGCAGGACTCGAGCAATCCGTTTTTTTCGTCGAACGAAAACCGATTGAAAATGCCAAATTTCCGAAAAGTGACAGACAATCGAAGCTCAATTGTCTGTCACGTTTTGTCTCTTTGCGCAATACATCCAGCGCCAAAGAACATTACGATCGACACTTTTCACTGAAGCAGATGGGCGATACGAAAAAAGAGAATCATCAGTCAACTGGAAGAAATTGCCTTGATGAATCATCAATTTCTCAGAAGTGACATGTAAAGAACACTGTGGCAGTCAGTAAGGAGAATTCAGATGTCGAACTAAGGATTGTCATGGATCGCCACTTCGACGCCACCCACAGCACCACCCCCTCCCCCCCAAAAAGACACAAACAAAAACAGGTGTAGAGCATACTGAGCCCACCAAAATTGTGTCAGCGAACTTGCCAGGTAGCACAACGTCAAACCAAACCCGAGCCGGCGTAGAAATTTTCGCACCGGGAGCCGGCATGAACAAAAGCAACATTTCTTTCGCAGAGCGAAAGAAGAGACTGGAAAAACTCGTTAAAATCATAACTATTCGCGTTATTTGTGATGGTAAGAGTGAGAATGAGACATGACTGTTAGCAAGTCACGACTACAGACAGGCAGGGCAATCCATGAGCAAAAACATACAGGGTCATGAAAAAGGGAAATAATCACCTTTGTGCTTTTAGCTGACTTCAGTCCAGGGCCCTGACTCAAGGTCCTCAATAAAGGCTCCTCGGCGGGCGCCCGGTCAGGATGTTCCAGGTACTCCTTGGTTCTGAATGAGAGCCTTATTTCCTCTAAACAGTGCATTAATTCATATGTCTGTGAGCTGGAAAAGATGACCTGGGCAAGGAAGGCAGAAAAAAAGATGATCACCTTACAAAATTCACCTTACTTGCTATAAATATCCTTGGAAGAGTTTGACCTTCGATCTGAAGTCACAGATGCTCCTGAGGCTCGTCAAGTAATCTTCAAATCAGATTTAATGGGAGGAGGATAATGAAGTCCACTGTGCTCCTCCCATTTAAGTCTTATACTTCTAAGCTGTCACGCAACGTTTCTTCCAAGTGAATCACTGCGTCACGACTCACGCCACGTGTGGAGATGGGAGATTGTTTCAGCCTAACTAATTGTGATCCCAAACTCTAGCTTTTTCGTCAACCTTTTTATACACTCTCTTTTCTCTACGTCATTAGGGAGATAGGGTAGTTAAATCAATGTTTACAGAAGTTCTATTTGCTTGAGCATAGAAACGAGCATCCTTACCTCTTTATGTTCCAACAGAGGCAAAGTGTCCGTTAAAAGCGTCAACCACAACCTGATAATCACAGCAAAGAAAACACTGCGTTACATAGACTGTCCCGCCTACTTTCACAGGGATGGGAAGGGGTGGCTAACTGCACAAGTTCCGAGCTTTTTCCACAAGGGAGGGGCGAGAGGATGAAACAGCAAAAAAGCGGGCTTGTAGCGAGCTCACAAATTTAAAAGCAGCGCAGAATAATGATCATGAATAAATAAACTGTTCAGAAGGTGTGATATTTGCATAAGACGAAAACCTATAAGAGTGGACTGAAGCGCGCTCGATACTATACAACAACACCCCAAACATGTCGCGTATATTTACTTAGGTCAAGCAAGTTTTGAAATTCTGCCTTATTGAGAAAAGTACACTTTAACTCTAAATATCTTCGCCAGTTTAATAACCAAAACAGAACCAAGAAAATATTTTTGTTTTGCTCTAAATCATGTGAAAGCTTTCAATGTGTGAGGTCCAATGCAAAACAGAACAGATATGACTAATCTGGATTAGTCACGGTATTTTGAGTTATTTTGGCCACGTACAAAAATTATCTTTAAATTCAAGGAAACCTGAAAATAGCAGTTTACTAAGATAGAAAAACACCAAAGAGATAATAATAAACCTTAAAGGAACAAGGTCGGTTAAGGATGGAGAAGATTAACACGGATTACAAACAACAAGCCTGGAAAATTTAGGCTTAACTTTTCAAGATGCGCAGACCGTGAGGTACGCCTTTTAAATCCGACAAATTCGACAAATCCACTACAAATTGAAATCGCATTTTAGATTTGGAAAATAGAATTCGGGAAAGAGATGCAGATCTGCATGATTGGGTGAATCTAGATCATGATCCACTTACTGACACACAAGCTCAATACCACCTCCAAACCACACCCAGGATTCCTCGCCAACGAAGATGTCATGAAAAGGTTATCAAAAACTCAGGCAATCGACTGGTTTTCAAATTGTCCTCTCTGAAAATCTGTCAAGAAGTCGTCTATTTTCTCCCCTTTTGTTACCTCGCATTAAGCATATCAAAAACACCTCATTACATCAGACTGACTCCAAACTCTGGTTGAGCGGAGTAAAAAAATACAATGTACATTGCATGAAAAGAAAATAGATTTTTGAATTCAAACGAATGAAGACGGAACAAATATCACTAAAACGTTCTCGTTTAAATTGACCGAAAATAACAGAAGGCAAGTGTTTTTTTCTCAATCAATCCCGTCGTAACCATTTTTACTACTTCAGCCCATTATCTGGAATTTCATTAGATTTTAAGACCATTCTGCATCACTAGACTCACTAGAACCGTCTAAATAACCTGATCAAGGTCTTTCAATGCACCGGTCCACAAAACCTCGGAGCACTTGTTGGAGAAAACGACACGAAACACTTCAGCGGGCTACAGCAATTAATCAATAATTGCTTCCTGAAAAACAACAAAACCACCACCATTTCACGTCCAATATCTTTAATGCACCGGGTGTCCGCCGTTAGCTTTGTTTTCCTTCGCCGCAAGAGACTATATCGACACAAACTTTAAACTATAACCTGTGCTGTACACAAAAGCTCAGTCAAGGATTTCATACGCCCGTCTCACGGTACTCTAAATTACACAGCAGCTTTATCCAAGGCAATGCCAAATTACCTCGGGTCTAACTGGCTTGAAAATTAAACCTCTGCTTCTGAACGACCGCAGAAAGTCGTTTGCGTGCTCCATTGAAAGCAAACGCCGCCTAAAAACCGCCTCAAGGAATAACACACTCAAGATTTCATTTAAATGCAGATGGTTATTTTTAATGGTCGCTAAGAAGGCGGGCAAACGGAGGTCATGGGCGGTCAGTGCGTATGTTTAACTATTGCTTTTCTCCCTCTGCATTGTCGGAAAGAAAAACACACTTACAGTGGGAGTAAAAAGCAAATCAAGGGAAAAAGCACTTTATCCCATGAAAGCAATTTAGTTAACAAGGCAAGGCGTGTTTTCGTGACATGGCGGCAGTTCTCAAAGGTGAATTAGCGGAATATAAGAGGAGATGTCGTGATCCGAGCGCCAAATATTAATGACTGCGGCACAAAGGACCATTACGCAGCATTTTAATCTCCGTGAACCGGCGGTAGGAGCGACTTCCTTGTGAAAAAGTATTTCCACGGCACTTATAACTGAATTAATATCAATTATTCTTTGATGATCGCGGAACACACTCGAATCCTCAAGGAATCTTGACTTTAACAGTTTCCTGTACATGATAAAATCCAGAAAAGGAAGAAACAAAATACGTCGTGTGAAGGTCCGTCGCACGCGATAGAACTTTCAATTGCATGTGGGTTGAGTTTGTTGTTGGTTCTTGCCTTGCTCCGAGGGTTTTTCTCTGGGTTCTCCGGTTTTCCTCCGTCCACAAAAACCAACATCTCCAAATTCCAATTCGACCAGGATAGAGGACCTGCATGAAAAGCAGCTAGGGTCGATGTGGCTTCCTCTCTAAATATTGTAATTTATTTTTTATTTATTTAATTCCAACTGTAAGTTATAGAAATGGGAGAAGTACTGAAATGTTCTTTTTTTCTTTCCCGTTGTATTTATCCTAAATTTCGTAAAGTTTCCTCCTCATACAAACCAAGGGGAGTTCACAATGTCTCTGTTTTGTTCTAAATTCAGTTTTTATTGTCATTCAATAATATAGAAACGGGATGCATTTCTCGTGTTTCCATAGAATGTTAGATACATGAGTGAAAGTTTCCGAGAGCACAAGAAATGATTGAATATCAGGAGCCCTAAATCGGATGTTTCGAGAACGGACTCCTCAAACCGTCGGAAGTGTTTATAGTCCATAGGGCCTTGCCGTGGTCAAAAAGAACAAGCGTCCGTCGGTACGCAATCCAATTTTTAGAGAGTAACTCAGCCAATACCAGACACCAAAATTTGAAATATAAATATAAAACAAAATTTTCCAGACTTAAGGCCCAAAACTAAGGAAATGTTAAGCGATCGGGCGAGGTAAAAGGCAGCCGAGACTGAAAAGGACTTCAAGACTCGCAATGAAAGTGTTTCGGGTGTTGGCCGGGATGAAGTGATGTCATTTTGTGTGAGCCAGTATTTTAGCGACGTAAAAATCATCTTGTCATGGAAGATAGTCATCAGATAATACAGCCTAATCTTCGGTAACGTACGCCCGGATACACCCGAAAGACAACGCCCTTCATCAGAAACTCGTGCACTGATCCTGTTGTTTCTTTTAAGACAGCTTTTCATTTGTAACCTCTTATAAAGGACACCTCCACGACAATCGCGACAATTTCCTTCGAGGTCCACTTTAGTTGGTTCACAGTAAAATAAACCTACCGTAAGCGAACTGGTAACGAAATCAATCTGTATTATTGAACTATCCAAAGCTTACGGGAAGTTTGACCACAGTTTGATGAAGCAAAACGCTTCCACTGCATGGACCACGTTGTTTCAAAGCCGATTCACCGTAATCCGATCCAGGATTAACAGTCAAAATCTGAACAGAGGTTTCTATGAAAGCCGGCATTTCACACTGCTAACGCTTTGTGCTTTTTGACTTAAAACAAAGTGAAAACTTAAGGACAAAGAAAATAAATAGCTCGGAGAACCTCACTGAAAAAAATACAAAAGTGAAATTCAAATTGACGCTAAGCCAAGATTAACATAATCTTGCTTCGAGCAACCAAACCTGGCTGAATAGTCCTCAATAGAGTAGGTATGACTTGACACACCGAAAGATCGTCACGGATTATTCTCCACACCTAATCTCACATGTGAGTCTGTTATAGCAGGGAATCATTCGGTCACATTATAGCGCCTCAGGTGCAATTTTAATTGATGTTTTAATGTCGCCTTGAGCAGAGCTTTTCTTTAAATACACGCTGACCCATTGATATCAATCAAAGCCTGACTAAAGGTATTGCAATCGTCGGGCTTTCTTGACCATTTGTTTACATTTAGTCTTTCAAGTTCTTTAAGCAAGACAGAAATAAATACAGCATACTCACATGGACTACGTGAGGGGAGGTACGTTTCTGGAATTTTAAATAGGTCTGTGCCCACTGAGACTAAACAAAGCTAATGTCGTGTGATATAGCTAACTCATTCCAAAATAACTCGAGGTTGTTTTCTTTTATATGCCAAATAGAAAGAAAACGTTCACGACTGATTTTCACGAGGGTTTGTGTTTCGCAACGGATGGGCATTTTTTGCATACCTGGAAAGTAAAAAAAAAAAAAAACCCACTAGTACTAAACCTTCGAACGCTTCTCACTTACTGCGCTATATCTTCGAGTCGATGAAAACTAAAAATCAGAAATGAAAGTATTCAACTATTTCTTTTAAAAAATCAATGTTTTATTTATGTCCAAGGGGAATATCAAGAGTAGAAAGTACGTCAAGGTGGTCTATAAATGCCACACTTAGGCGACAACGGCAGGATAATACGAAAGATGATGAGTCATGCCTTATTCCAGACTAAACACGAGACCAGATGAAAGAAAATACCCTATCGTATTCTCAGGGGACTAAAGTAGGGAGTAAAATCAATGTCCTTGTGCCTTCATTCGGGCTCAATCTGTTTTTGGTTTTGGAGAAATAGGACTTCTTGCATCAAACAATAGCGAAAAAATTCGTTATTTTTAACACAGACGGAGATAACTTCGGAGCTAAACCCGCAAATTTTCAATACCCTCCCACCCACACCTCCAATATAACTGTAGGTCCATCGGTAACTAAAATAGCACCAAATCAGCCAATAACATTATTTTCATCCCTTCTAAATAAAATTGGAAATGCTGTTCTTTCAAAGCATTTCCGCATAAACCAAATAGCGTAGGAGTGTCTCCACTATACCATTGAAAAGATGAAGGGCGCAGGTAGAGATCAAGTTGGTAAACGGATTACTCCCATGGCCAAAATTAGAACAATTTATTGTTTCAGCCGCCCTGTTCCGATTTTAATACTTTTAAATTAGATTTATTCATTCACCTTTAGCTTTGGCCGGTCTCCTGCCGGGCGGCGGAGTTCACGAAGAATCGTATAGAAGTATGCAGCGCGGGCTCTTTGATTCCATGTCGAATGCTTACATTGGTATCTTACAAGCAAGCACGGCGAGCGGTTAAGAATATGAAAGAGATTCTGACCAAGCAGACATATTCTTATTTTCTTTATTACACAACAAATATTTGGGCACGAGCAGAAACAAACTGACAATAGAGCGATTTGTATAAGCTTCTTATAAGCTTAAATGGTTTTCGGCGAGTAAAAAAAAGTTACTGAATTTCAAAGAGCTTAAGCCTCTGACCTTCGCAGGGGCAGTGTTTATGTTCTGATGAGCGAAACAATCCGACTCCAGTAGCACTGATTCCTTGACAGAGACATTTCGGTGTGTTTTTTAAACTCAAGACAGAACAAGACTTAATTTCTCGGCTCTCAAGAAGAAGTTTTACAGCAAGCACTTGACTTGTCATAAGACTACTGTTCAAAATCTTTCATTAAATGAACATTCAATGACAGAGATCTTTTGCATAGTTTTAGTACAAAGTTGAAAGGTTAGAAGTCGGAATTTCTGTAGGTGGCAGCCGCGTCAAATTCGCGCCAAACTGTCGCCAGCAAATGTCGAAGACTGATTGGTTAAAAACACTTTTCAACTTTTTCAATTCGTAATACAAGAAATCCGTATCTAAGTAATACACGGGTTTGCCAAAGAAAATCGGATTGGAATTTGGATTTCCTAAATCCAAAATGGAAGTCCTTTATTTTTCCATACACAGCCATTTAGATTATACGGGAGTTGAAGCGTAGTCAAGCACATATAGCTAACAGAGTTCTCAAAAGAATCGAAAAAAAAAGGTTTTCAATAATTCCCCTACATACAAACAGTACCAATCACTGTACACTCACAAAAGGTGAAACATATTACAAGAGTAATAAGACCAGGTGACCCAAGAGCTGCCACAAAGCGCACCTCTCTTTTAAGCGGCCCACCCCTCTTCGTGGTTTTCAACGAAGATTTGCTAAAACTAACCCTTGTTTCGGCGCCGACTAAACTCAAGTGTGAAACAATTAAAAGTTGCAAGCCCATAAACTAAACAACATAAAAGGCGGAGAGAGAGTAGAAGAAAGCAACGTCACACACGGGCAAACACACGAAACAATTTCCTTTGCTTATCTCCTACTTAGATATTGACAAGTTGCGATCCTATAAGCCTTTAGGAAAAGCGGCTGCAGTCGCCGGGTGATACATGGGTGGCATAAGCCTTAAATACCAGGCAACGCATACCTGCGCTAAACCAGAACTCCATCTGAAAGCAAACGGATCTATTTTGACTGAATAAAAAGACGAAACGAGTAGAGTAAATGTGGAAGGCGAATAGTACTAACAGCAACCACTGGAAAATAGAGCCACGTTTTTACTGATCTCCCCCACACATCGGTTGAAGGAATCATTGTTTCGGTTATACGAAGTACTCTAACCCCACTGGGAGGTTCCACAAAAAAAGGAACAGTTAGGAAGCGATTAGCCTCTGCTTTACCTTTGTGGAGCAAGTTTTGAAGTCAGCAAAGAAATCAGCAAATGTCCAGCCTCTTGGAGCTTACCCTCCTCGTACATTTTATGAAATTCCCGGTACTTTCCTGTAGCAACAAAAATTTAAAAAAAAAACAACAATAAATAATGTATACCTAATTAGTAAATAACTACCAAAAACTCTCCAGGTGCCTAACTACAACACATTTTAAGGCCATTGAAGGACAGGACATTTGTCCTTTATGTGGAAGCACGGAGTATAGTTTTCAATTTTCCTTACCAAGAAACGTGAGTCGATCGCTGAGAAGCATTGCGGATCCAAGATTGTCAATCAAATCGAGGTTTGAGAAGCCGCCGCTTTTGCAATATTCTGATAAAAACCTGTTGCGTAAGAAAAAAATAGTACATTTTAGGAAACAATTGCCTTTATGTGGAAGGAACTCTCGGACTATCTTTGACTGTTTCTAAGTTATTTTCTGCCTCGCCATTTAAGAATCGGTTTAAACTGTTCAATAACACCTGACCTTTCAAATCGGACTTTGTCAATGGTTCTCCGGAAGCCTCATGGTTAAGGCACTGGACTTCGTATTGAGAAGCCTGGGTTCGAGCGCTTAAAAAGTTCGCTGTGTTATGCTCTTGGTCAAGACAGTTTACTCTCACAGTGCCTCTCTCCAACCAGGTGTGGAAATGGGCACTGGTGAAAATGTCAGGAAAACCCAACAAAACGCAGGGAAGGGGAAGGGGGAGGGGAAATTGCGACGGACTAGCACCTCATCCAGGGGAATAAAAATTCGTAGAAGGGACTCGCACATAAGAAAGACGGGGGTGCTCGTCGTAGCTTTTAGGGTATTGAGCCAAAAACACATGACAGGAGATAATGTCTTGTTTTAGAATTGCTACCTCTTAGGGCTGAAAAACATTTCAAGCCACGCCCACAAAACAGGATCTTGGTATCTCTTTGGAGTTTTGTTCAAAATTTCCGACGAGCACCCCTGTCCTTTTTATATGGAAGTCCCCCCCGGATAGGAATACTCCTCAGTCACCTCATACTACAGAAACTGGAGCTAAGCGCTGACCTGATTCGCTAACTACCCTTGCAAAACCGGGAATGTTTCGGGTGAATTTTTTGCATGTGCCAATGATTGATTGTTATCACATTATTGGGTAGCTTATCAGTTCAGTCAGGTTTCATATTTTGACGAGACGCCGTGGCAAAATACCGATGGCTCGGCCCGGTTGCTAAGCCACCGTTAGATTAACCGTACTTAAATTCGGCCATAAATCCAGTGCGTCATATCAAGTCAATGGCTTGATATCGCAAGACATTTGCAAAGCAGACACGGCTGGCTAATTGCGATTTTGGCTTCGGTAACGGGAAAAATCGAATAT